TGATCAATTTACATTGTGCCCCTAAAGTTCTTTGTGCGTTCCTTACTTTTTCAGCTTAGGAGCACATGTGCTCCTTGAGAAAAAAGTTAGCGTCAAGCCCTGCATTGCATTTAGGAGAAAAGCTGGTTAGCTCCCTTAAAGGGCCAGTGTGTAATATTTGGCATGGTTTATTGTCAAATCTGAATCTGAATCTGAATATTCTACCCATTAATATGTTTATATAAGTGTATAATCGCTAGACAATCCAGCCAGCCAAAGAACGCGTTTCGCATGTATAAATAAACCAATGAAGACAGCGGAAGGAAGGAAGAAGGAAGAGGAAACAGCAGAGAGTGTTAGTAGTTCGTCGATAGAGAGTAGTGAAAAGTTTTTTTAGTTATAAAGTTTGTGAATGGACCACACTTACCACGCAACAGGAGAGAATGGACCCGAACCGTCATCTGCGAGGAAAAGAAGACGCAACTTCACTCCTTGTGATGCACTCTCTGCGGCGCTTTTCCTCCTGATGATATATCTCCGTAACGATGGTAGCACCGAATCCCATTCTGTGCAGCAAAATGGGAGCGGAGGATTCAGCGTCTCTTCTCGCCCGCTCAGCATCCAAGTTCCTCATCTGTATGCTCCGGCTCAAACAGGTATGGCTCTGGATCTGTGTCCGCTACAAGAAACTCTTCAAAATCACATTCAAAGTCGTCCATTGCAGCTGCTATAGTCCGGAGATATTGCTAGGCTAAATAAACAGCTGAGCTCTGTTTACAGGCTACGCTGTCAGTCAGTGTGCGGGCTGGAGATTGGTGGAGCAGAGGGGGGAGGGGGTACCCGCTTGGTACGGTAAACAATTATGTGTGTATGGAGTGTGTGTGTTACGCTAGAAGAGTCAGAGTTTGGGACGGAGTCTTTTACCCCCTGGAGTGTTACCGGAGTTTTTGGAGTGCTCAAATAAACTGGCCTTTTTCCCGAACGCTCCTCTGGTCTCCTGCTCGTGAGAGATTCATTACAATATCGTAACATGGTTTAGATTTCCGCGTGTCTGCGCAAGGCTTTTTGTCCCTACGAGGCCACCGTCATTTACCCGACGGGAGGGGTGAGCGAGTGAGCCCTGCAATCTAGAATTTGACCACTCCTATCACTGTTTTCAACGGTTTTCAACCCATTTTACACATTGGTCCTTTAATGCATGTCTCCACATTAGCAACTGCTTACCCTTTGAGCTCTTTATCAAATTATATTCTGTTTCTCAGCACTCCCAAGCTGAATCATCCACATACAAAAATGAAAAAGCTGCCTCCACATCATTTATGTACAGTAATAACAATGACAGACCAATGATACATCCTTGAGGGATACAACATCTAAGGTTTTTGAGCTCTAGGAGCATACCTCCTACATCTACCAATTAAACCCTACAAGAAAGATATGACTGTATCCATTTCAAGGCCTTCCTATTAAAACCTATTGCCTTTAATTTATACAGCAATATCTGATGATTCACTATATCGAATGTTTTTTGCAGGTTGAGCATTACCATCCCACAATACTTGCCAATTTCAGTTTCCTTGTAAATGAAGTCAGTTAAATAAATCACGGAAGTCTCAGCTGTGAAGGATTGTCTGAAACCTGACTGAAAATCACATAAAATGTATGAAAATATTTTAAAAATCTGTTCATAAAGAACTCTTTCCAGAATTTCATTTGAAACACTTAATATAGACACGGGCCTGTAGTTACTTTATTCTACCTGGCTGCTTTTTTATATAAAGCATTTTTAAGTTCCTGGGGGACTTTTGATTGGGAAATTGAAAGATGTATAATGTGTATGACATAAGGAGCAATAACCTTTGAAACATCTCTCAGGAATTTAGCTGGGATGGCATTCAAGCCAGTGGCATGTTTAGTATCCAACCCCCTGAACAATTTAGTGACTGTTGTAACTGTTGTGTGGCTAAAAGAGAACCGCTTTTCCCCAGTCCCTTTAGACTTGTGATAGTGTTTCCCCAGGGCCCCATAGATTCATGTATTAACTGAAAGTGTCTGCATTAAATCACTTGCTATGGTTGTGAAGTACTCGTTAAAGCTATCTGCAACCACAGCTTTAACAATGCTTAAAGACCCATTGATGTTCAGACCCCTCTTACTTTGTTCATATTGGGTTTTTCCTTGGTCCCTAATGACTTCAGGGTTGCCTACAACTTTTTGGAATGGTTTTTATGTTCTTCTATCTTTGTCCTAAAATAAAGCTTATTGGCCTCATCTACCATTCTTTGAACATTTTTGTATTTAATATAATAAGCTGGCACCTTGTCTCTCTTGTAATACTTAAGCATTTTTTTTCTCAGATAAAGTGTCCAGAATTGCTTTATTTATCAAAGGTTGACTTCTTCTTCTTCTTCTTCTATTCCTTACTGCCCGAAGCAATGTTATCTAACACCTTAAGGACATTAATTTGGAAATGATTCCCAGCAATATCTGCAGTACATCACAGTTTTCCATTATATTACATCAATCCATATTCTTAAGCATATTAAACTTGTCAATATCATTCCTACAGAGGGTTTTACTTTTAGTTGTGGTTAAAACAAAAATGAACATGTGTAATGAGTCACACCACAGGAAAATGTGTTGTTCAGCACTCAGCCAAATTTGAATGTTGCCTAGTATATAAAATGTTGTTTCAAAAAACAGGCAGAATTTTCTGCCCTAAGACGATGGAGACGTGTTTGCTGAATGTGCCTAAGCCATGCCCATTCTCAGGAAATCTGCAGCCTCTTTTAGCACTATAATGGATGTGTTATCTAGCAGCTTTATTGGGCTTAAACAGCTATACATGTTTGACCCATCAGAGCCAGAATCAATTTTGGAGCCAGAGGACACTGACCTGCCTGAAAATCAGCCTATCAGGCCCCGATCACACAGAGAGCGGAGGTGGCTTTTGCATTTTTTTTCAGTGAGAATTTTTACTTTTTGGCGCAAACTTCAACTCAGAGCGGAAGAGTGCCCCACGTCATGTCCCAGTTTTTCCCATTGTCCAATCAGATGATTTGAGAGGTGGGCCTTCTGTGGTAGTCACAACAACAAGTTTACAGTTGGTAAACAATGGAATAAAAACTGGTGGTAGCGGTTGCTGGATATCCAGAGCTGTACGACTTTACAAACCACAGTTACCATCTTTATAAAAAACAGCAGACATGGAAGCATCTAAGTGCAGTACTTGAAACGGCCAACATCGAAGTGAAGCTCCTGGACCAGCTGGTGGTACTCCCCATGATGCAAACAACCAACTATTTTTCTGACAGCCTCTTAATCTCAACCAGAGCTGGAGCAAGTACCATCTGCCTGAACATTTTAGGAACTAGCAACTAATTACTGTGAAAATAAAGTAAAATAGATTAATGGTAGACTGATTACATGACAAGGTTAGGGTAAGGAGGTGATGGCATGATTGCCTGGCAACAATAAAAAGATGTAGCAACTGGGGCATCGGTAGCGTAGTGAATAGTGCTTGCGCCCCATGTACAGAGGCATCGCCTCACTGCAGCGGTCACAGATTTGAGTCCGGCCTGCGACCCTTTGCTGCCCATCAGTCCCCGCTCTCTCTCTCATTTCACACACTGTCCTATCCATTAAAGGCGAAAGCCCACAAAAATAATCTTAAACAAAAAAAAGAAAAGAAAAAGAAAAAAGGTGCAGCAACTGCATATGCAGTTGTATAAGGGGCTGTTTGTCAGTGTTTCCTGTAAAGCTTTTTTCAGACCACTGGTGAGGGGTTTATGGGGGTTGATGGCTAACTTGAGATAAAAACAGGAAATTGTCTGAAAATAGCTTCTGTGTCTTTTTACAGACGCAATCCTCACACAGACTATAAAATGTTATACATCAGTTTCAATACAAAATGTGAACCTGAAGCTGAATTGTAATCAACAACAACAAACAGGTTTTCTTTCAAAGTAGTCCCAAGGTAGATGTGATGACAACTACAAAAGATAAAAAGATATGTTAAATCAGCAACAGCACAGTACTGTGAAAAATAAAACAAAGCACACTTCAGATTTTGAGTACGTTACGTTATTATGTTCACACAGCTGATTGTCTTTTAGCCATGATTTAGGTTAGTTTTAAATGAACAATATGTATCGCAGTTTCAGACTGTTGCAAGTGTGAGCTGCTCTCACTGACTGTCTGAAGGTAGTCCTCATAATTTTTACAGAACACCCTCTTGCCACTAATTTGATAAGATTGCTCCAGCTCAGGAAATGATGCTTTCTTATGCCATAACAATGGTGATGGCTGTTTGGCTTCCTGTCAAGCACCTTAAGAAACTGGTTGTGAACTGACTGCACAGGTTTGAGTGTTGTACAGAGGGCTTGTGCCCAACTAGTCAAACAATATGACAAATGTGACATGATCATGGCATTGACATATAGGCCAAGTTTTCCTTCATTGGTAGTTGGAAGGTTTTTGGTATGCCGGAAAATTTGACAAGAGTGTGAGATGAGAATCAATTGTTACACAAAGACATTTGAAATCAGATATCACCATCAGCTTTTTTCCCTGTGACATTAACATCAGGTGTGAGATTATCATTTGACCTTATAGTGAAGAACATACAAACTGTTCTTTTATTTTTAAGTAAAGATTGGAATTAGTGCGCCACTGGGTAGTTCATCACTACCCTGAGCTTACATGCAGCATGCTGTTTGGTCATTGTATGTACATAAATGATGGTATCATCTGCATACATTTGAATCTCAGACTCATGGCATACAGTAGGAAGATTTTTTATATAAAGGCTAAACAGCACTGGCCCCAGAACTGATCCCTGAGGTACACTGATATCACAGCTAACAGCTGATGACAGTTCAACTTTTATTTTGACACCCTGTGATCTGCCTTCCAGATCTGACTGCATTTATGTAATAACATTAGGGTAGAAGCTGAGTATTGAAAGCTTTGTGAATAGAACACCATTGACTTCAGATCTGGACTTTTTAAAATTATTTTTATTTATTTATTTTTACAACAAGTGGTGTAAGGAAATTGGAGGCAGAGTTTAGTTTGAACTCATAGAAAACATAATTACTTTCAGTCATCGAAAACACACAAACAACAACAAATCAATCGTATTTTATGTATACAACATTTTGTACATATCAGTCACAGTTAATGATGACTGTTGCTCAGCTTTAAGCAAAAGTTAAGTAACAGAATGATCTATATGTATTCCTCCAAATGTATTACTCAATGCGTCATCAATCATCACTATCTATTATGTCGTTGTCTTGTTTTAGGCTTTAGGTTTTAGGTTTTCTTCTTCTTTGGTCTCTGTGATGCCTGACGGATTTCCACTGCAGCATAACACACATCTTCATCCTAAAAAAAAAACGACGTTTATTTTTTTCCAGAATTATGCTTTCGTACAAGTTAAATGCCATGATTTATTCTATCCTACCATTACACTTACCTGATTCAGTCCTGTTTGAGGTCTTTGCTGATCAACTTGAGGTTCTTTAGCTGCACAAATCAATACAACATCACTACAACATTTTACACCCAGACATTAACACGTTGAGCTTAAAAAGTGAGATAAACAGGAGTTACCTTTTTTCTGACAGAGGTGATAAACCAGAAGCGAGGAGAGAAGAGAGGAGAGGACAGCAAAAGCTGGACACACACAGAACAGCAGCATCCAGCATACATCACATTCTTGTGGAGTCTCATGGTGATGATGTTCACTGGAGTCTGAATCAAAAACAAAGTTGTGCCGATAACCTTCATAAAACACACTCAAAGATCATATTTTGGCTTAAAATCTCTGGGCTCTCTGGACACTATCCCAACTGGAAAAACAGCAACAAGGTTACTATAAACCACCCACAGCAATGATTTGCTAAAAAACCAACCAGTTTTGTTGTCTGTTGGTCGTGAACAGTGGACTGCAGCTTGGTTCTACTGCCATCCAATCAATCCTGCCTAGTTTCTGAATTGCGTCAAAAGAAGTAGGCCTATCCATTCGCATTTGAATAATGTCTCTGGTTTATCAGTTTTTTTTAGCTCATTTCATCATCAAGTGCAATGTGCAACCTTTAAACCTGTTTTAGTCTTTCATCTCAGATTTCAAAAGTAAAATCATTCAAAAACTCACCATGCATAAAAATACAAAGAAAATCTTAAGCACATTTTAAAGGATGACTTGCAACACTTCAGATACATGGGACCCCAGTTTGGAAAGAATTATTCATAAAAAGCATTATACACTATTTCACTCCAGATTGGGGGTTGGTAATGCACATAACCTTCAAATACAGTATATTACATGATTATTAATATAGGTCTGCAACACATGGGCAGATTTTCCTGCCACAAGATGTTAATTTAGTCAAATGAAACATTCACTGAAACCATATAAATATTTCAGACACAAAGACGATTCAGACTGGCATACTCACTGAATATGATCTTTGTTGCGATGTTGCTGTATCTGTAAATAGTTCTGGATGTAATGAATTCTTTATCCTCCACCTTGGTCTGTTCAGTTCCACTGTAGTAGAGGCCCTCATCAGAATCAGTGATGTTCATGATCAGCAGGTCATAGGATGCAGAAGAATGGTTGGTCACAAATTGAAAATGAGGGAAGACCTTCCAAAGATCATCAGTGTAAGTGGAGACCATCAATGAACCATGTTTTAATTTAAGGTCAAGAGAAGGCTGGTTGTCGTGAGAGCTGTTCTTGTACCACACTATGTATACTCCAATTGATAATTTACAGTCACAGTAGAGAGTGATGTTGTCCCCTGGTCTGACCTTCACCTCCAAAACTGATGCAGAGATCCAATCATAACTCCAGGAAACAACTGGAAAATAAAAAACAACCACAAAAGGAAGCTGATGAACACAACAGTGTTTCACAATACACCAAATGCAGTTTACTGCTTAATAGAACTATGCTAAGAATGTATGTGTGTATTCATTATGAAAATATAATCAATAAAATGTTTGTTCTCAATGCGTTTACTAAAACATTACCCAGGAGAAAGACCATAAAAGCTCGCATCCTGTCCATGTGTGATGATGACCTCTTGTTGAAAGACAACAAAATAGGTCTCTTTCTACCTGATGTCACGACCTGCTCAGACTTTTCCATTAAAGGAAATGCAAAGTGTCATTGGCCAGTTGAATGGAACATTTTTTTCTGTGGTTGTTTTCTATTGGTGTGATGCTCAGTGATGATTCATTTTAGCTCATGGGCCACATACAGTCCAATTTGAACTCAAGTTTGCCAGATCAGTTATATTGCATAATAACCTGTAAATAACAACACCTCTAAATTATTTATTTTCTTTCAGTGTAAATAAATACAAGTACATTTTGAAAACATTCATCCATTGACAAAAGAGATGATGAACAGCTTGGGATGTCTGAAGAGAAAGTCCAGTTTTAACAATATGTCCCAGTTCTTCCACAATAAGTCAGTCTACTTTACACTGTCATTACATATGCATTTTCCATACAACTCCCGTGTAGTAATGCTGGCATCACCACACTAAACTAAAGCAGCATTTGACCACAAGTGTGTTATTTTTTATATTGTTTTTAATGCTGACACTCAATACTTAAAACCCACACCCCGTTCTCACACTCTTAATAGCCACTGTGCTGACAACTCTTTACAAGTAAGGATATGGCTTTTGTCAGTAATAACATGTGGTGTAACCCAGGTTAAAAAGCCAGCAACTACTTAGCCAATTCTAGACCACTCCCAAGCTATCCACCTTATTCCTAGCCCCCATGATACCTTGCGTGAATTATGTGTGCAACTTCTGGCATTGAACCGAAACCGGTGATTTCCAATAGTAACAGTTTGTTTACAGTTCTCTATTCTTCTTTCCAAGAGTAATTGGAAATTAAAACGTGGAACACACCACCTGTTATAGCACAAAGGGGATTATGTGATCATACCTCTGATATCTCTGTTAGCCATCTCAAACCATTGTTTTTTTTCCCTTTTTACCGAGCACACTAGCAATTAGCTTGCCTTGTTCCGTTAAAATATTGTCAACTTAAAGAGGCAACAGATAGGATTCGTTTTGTTTAGCTTGGTGCCACCTAGTGTCAGCGGTGTTGCTTGCACTGTTGCAACGACCAAATTGACCGTGGGGATCAGAGATAATCAATAATATGACTCTATTAGACTCTCTAAATTAAATAAAATGTAGGCTGTAAAGCCACCAGTATACCTCTATGTATATGTAGAATGAGAGGGTGTGTGGACACTCTACTAAATAAATGAGTAAAGAGACCGAGCAACAATTATCAGATTTATCTGAAGAAAAAACAAATAGTAATGCAAATAATTATACCAGAATGCACAGTACCAGTACAAACAACTCACAGTAAATTATACCAATATGTACAGTTTCAGTACAAACAACAGTAGACACACTGGAATTATACCAATATGCACATGTAAACAGTCCCGATTCTAGAATAAACGGTACCGTATGGAAACGATGCGGCCGGTTGGAGCTCAAATTGAATGGGAAACAGAGTTCAGTGTTCATTTAGTTGGGCGTTACTTGCTGGTCGATGTCCGTCGATAGCTGCTTCCGTGAAAAGAGAATAGAAGGAAGGGAGGGAGGTATCATTGTCCGAGGGCTGCCGTAGAATGGCAATGAGGATGTCAGCCGACCAACACTCGCTACCCGGTCCCTGGTCCCTAGCTCCCATTAGCTCAGTTGTTATAAGTCTGTTGTATTTGTGTGTGTTAATTAGCTCCCATTAGCTCAGTTGTTATATGCCTGTTGTATTTGTATGCGTGTATTAATTAGCTCCCGCTAGCTTAGCGGTTAGCACTGTCAGCAATGTATTGTGTTTGTATGTGTTAATGAGTGGCTGCTGCTACTTTGCAGTAGGCCGCAATGCCGCTATTAGCAACAATTCTGTGTCATGTAATGTTAATTATACTGTTTCAAGGCATTTGATTTGATTTGAGCCCTTTATGTATCTCAGTTTAATAATTTTGTTATGGGTGAATAAGTGAATATTATATTGTTTAGCCTTAGGGGTCTCTGATTTGAATGTGATCTTTATATTTTTTATTTGATAATGTTGTACAACAAAACTGAAATAACTATGTGTTAATTCATTCTTTGTGACCTTCCATTTGCTACACTGACATTGTAATCACTGGAAGGATCCATCATGAGTTAAAGTTATTTTTTTTATAAGGGTGTAGCACCTTTACTAAAAAGATAACAAAGGCAATAATTGAGTAATGATTCAGTACTCAGTGTTACGGCCGCTGGCCTGTGTTGTTGTTTTTCGTTTTTGTCTCCTTCCTTTTTTTCCTCCAGGGGTCCGTTTCACAAAGCAGGTTCAACAAACTCTGAGTCTAATCCTGAACTCTGAGTTGATCTACTCTGAGATAGGAAACTCTGAGTTTCCGGTTCCAGAACAGCTGATTTGAATCAGTTTAATCAACTCAGAGTAGTTTCACCTGGAGTTAAGCGCGTGCACCACAACTATAAAAAGCCAGCATCAATGGAGCCCCGATTTGACGAGTCACCATGGCAACGGGGAAGAGGAGGGCTGCGTTTTTCACCCCACTAGAATTAGAAATCTTAATGCGCTCATACGGCGAGTTTGAACACGTTTTCAAAAAGAAGTGCAACATCGCTGCAGCTGCAAAAGAGAGGGAGACGGCGTGGGAGAATGCATAAGTTTAAATGTAGTCCTTTGCAATCACAATAATATTACAGGGGAAAACTGCTTGAATGGTAGCCTATTAATTTATTTCATTTAGGTGCAATCCCGCGGGGGAGAAGCGCACTTGGCAGCAGTTTAGGATGAAATATAAAAACATTGTTCAAACAGGTAAGGCTCAGCATAATCTCATGGGGGTACCTCATTTTGATCATGTTTTACATTGTAAAGTAAATATTAAGTGGCTGTTTGACTGTGCAGTTGTTTTATCCCCAACATAATGCTGTTTTCACACACATAAATGTCTTCTCATCTATATCATGTTCTGTTAAATAATTAAGCCTATTTAAACTAACACAGACTTCTACTCAGCCAACAGAAAGAAGGCAGATGCCCATAAAACGAGCACACTTTTCTGACCGCCCTGCATACAGTTGCCTTACTCAAGTGCTCAGCATCTCCGACACTGTACAAAAAACTTCGTTTTGCAAAGAAACGCAGCGCAACACACAATATCTGCTGGATGTGAGAGCATGTCTACGATTGGTAATGTTGCAAATGTAAGGACGGATTAGGTTGTGTATGTAGATGATGGACTGTGACGTGAAACGGTACAGCCCAAAAAGATAATTGTGTGGAAATGCTAGAACATCTATGCGCGGTCTGATAACCATCTCCCGACGAATAGGCCTGTTTAATTCTCTGCACAGTAGTGCTGCACCTTCATCCACAGGATCGTTATCAAAAGGACATGCCATGTTAGTGAAAAAAGTCGCCACCTACTGTGCCTAATGGACTTCTAATATACTGACTCTGATTTTTTTAAATTACAGACGGCAGAACTAGGCTACGCCAAAACTCGCCTGCTGACTGAATGAATGAGGAAATCAAATGGAGTGTGTGGCTCTGAAAGAGGGCGGAGACAAAGAGAAACTCGAGGTTCACTGAGAAAAACCTGGTCCCGACCAGGTTAGGTTCATAGAGTCTGTTACTACGGTAACTGACCGAGAGCTTAAGTTACCTCTCTC